TTTTATGCCTGTATATATAGTATGTTTATAGGCATGTATGACAGCCTGAACAGAAAATCACTGGTTAACATTTTCTTGCATCGTGTTTTCAAATGTTTCTTCTTTGTCTTCTGACACAAAGTGCTACTGTTAGTCTATAAACAATGCAATTTCCTTTCTCTTTTAAGTATCTCGGTATTTTGCCTAGATGCTACTCCCCTAACTGCTTGTTTCCTTTTTCCCCAAATATAATAGTTTTCCTAAAATGTGTCTGGATCTTTCCTGTGCTGGATCATTTGTCCATGTATACAGTGTGCCTTACAATATGTGCTTTCAAGCTCTCCTTTTTTCAGGGAATTTTTTTGAACTGTGTTATTACTATTTCTTGTTTCATGATCTTGGTTTTTACATGTTGGATCTTGCTTGTCTTCCAGTTATGTCTTTCATTTTCTTTTGAATCCTGCTTTGTCTCTTCCTTCATTTTATGTTGATTTTTAAGCATTAGCTGTTTTTTATCTTCTCTTTGTCTGAGTCATTATTTGTATGTGTGTGTGTTGTTTCTAGTTTAGTCTTTATTTCCGAAATAATTTTCTCTTATTTATAGTTATTTCTAAGTTTTTTCAGCTTTCTCTAGTAGTCTCAATTATAGATATGTATAATTCTATTTAAGCTGTTCATTCATGGCTACTAACATTTTCTTAATTTCTTTGGATTCATTTTTAATTATTAGGTAACTAGTTCATGGAAATGTTTTTCTAGTGGGAGACTTCATTGTCTGTGGAGACATAACCTTCTTCTTAATCTCCATTTTATTACAATAATTAACATGTGATTTGACTGTAATTATTTTTATCACTTATGCTTGAGATTAATTTTCTTGTATTCTTAGGAGCGAGGCATGGGTAACATATATTTCCAAGGTTTGTAATTCTAGATGTCCTTCTGCTAGCTAAGTGAAGTTTGAAAATAAATACATCCTCATACTCCCTGAGACATTGTGACTTCGTCCTACCACTACATTAAGTGATGTTTCTCTTTCTTTGACTTATTGCTCATCTCGTACTCAGTTAGATTCTACTCCCCAGCAGGTGTTCGAGGGAATATTGCTTTAGTTTTGTTTTTTGTTTAATTTTAGTTTTGAATTTTTTTACTGAGTTCAAAGGGCTCTGACTACTCCACCACCATCTGTCCTTACCATGTTTTCTTAGATTGTACCTGCAAACTGAAGCCCCTTAAGTCCTTTTCCAAATCAGCTACTCTTCCAACATTTGCTTTTCATGCTTTCCAAAGCTTGGTGACTTGGGTGTTCTCTAGATCTCGTGGCTTTCAAAAGTCATTGTGCCTTCCCTCTGCTTCCTCCTGCACAGTCAGCCAGGCCATTTTAGTCTTGTTCTTACAGTTTATATACTTACCTATTAGTATTTCAAGGTTTGTGAGGATAACTTACCACCTCGTGTTGATGTAGAAGTTGTCTGTGGTTTTGGATGTTCCTACTCCAAGTGCTGTATCTGCTTTTATGGAAATATTAGGGAAGACAAAAAGCTAGCAATTAGTTTGCCAGGCTGCAATAACAAAGTGCCAGAGACTGGGTGGCTTAAACTCCCTGTCCTGGAGGCTGGAAGTCCAAAATCAAGGTGTCAGCAGGTTAGTTCCTTCTGAGGGCTGTGATAAAAGAACCTGTTCTAGTCCTCTCTCCTTGGCTTGTGAAGAGTCAGCTTCTATCTTGGGGAGGACATAATTCAAACCACAACACTATGTAACAACTGCTGACTTTCAGTCCTTATTTTCTTATTTAATTTTTTAAATTTACAAATAAAAAATTAAAGCACTTTACTTAGTCCAGCATATGTATTTATAATGTCTATAAAAGAACATTATAATTTTTAAGGAGTTTGTAAGCAAATGGAGGGACAGTTGTAATACTGAAACACATGAAAAATTGAGTGTTGCATAGATGCTTAGGAGTTGAAATGAGAGCTCAATAAAGGTTTTTATAATCAGGAAAGGTTTTCTTTGAACTGAGTTTTGATCCAAGTGTTAAAGAATAATGGAAAGGATCTGCATAAATTGAAATGAGCATGTTTTCAATGTGATCAAGGTGTAGAAGTGAGAGAATGTGCATGCCTGTACAAACTATCCAGAGAAGACTTACAAGATTACAGTGGACCTTGGAAAGCAATGGGAAATGGTTCGATAGGCATGATGTAAGCAGCTTTTGGTGACCTTGCAGGTTAGCAGAGTAGCTAGATTATCCGAGAAAAGAAACTAAATGCTGATCAGTTTTGAATTTAGTAATCAGTAATCAAATTTAAAGAGATTGTCAGCAATATGCTTGATGGAGTCAAATTAAAATTACTATTTTAATTTATAATCTATTATAAAAAATATGTTGGCATCTTTTTTTTTTTTTTAGTGCTGGTAGAAGTTAGGAAATAAAGACTTAACCAGCCTTGATAATATCCCAGAAAATTTGCCCAATTGTTATCTCACCTACTCTTTGCAAAAACACTTTGATGTATATGTTAGTGCTCATATATTACAAATAACAAAATTAAACCCAGAGAGTTGAAGCAACTTCCTCAAACACATATATTCCATACATGGTTTAAAATTTGAATCCAGGTCCTTCTGGCTTGAAAGTCCGTTCTCTTTTTACTATCCTACACTGCCATATAAAAGGTTACTATGTTTTAGAGGTGTTATAAAATATATATTAGAGATCGGACAATAAAACCATAGAGGAAGAGACAAGCATTTTAGAGATCTGGCAATAAAACTGTACAGGAAGGGATAGGTGTGAGAAATTTGGGGGAAGGAAGATGAGTTAGAGAGTGATCATGTATATTTTGAGTTCATTTATGCATTTCATGAACGCAGCACATTGTGGCAACACATTAGTGTCTCTATAAACTTTTTTATGAGAATGCAGTGGTGAAACTTATTCTCAGTATTATGCAGGTCATAATAGCACCACACCAGAGTAAAAATAACATTCAGAAAATCAATAGTATCTAATAAATCATTCCTGGACATAATTTTCCTATATATTAAAAGGAAATATTTCATCATCATTTTTCTTAAGTTAGGTCAACTGTCTCCTACTTATTGTGGGTATAATGGTTAATTTTACTGTCACTTTGACTGGGTTAAAGGATATCCAGACAGCTGATAAAATACTATTTGGGAGTATGTCCTTTCTATTGCTGCTATTAAGGACTGCCAGAGACTGGGTATTTTATAAAGGAAAGAGGTTTAATTGACTCCCAGTTATGCATGACTGGGGAGGCCTCAGAAAACTTAGAGCCGTGGCTGAAGGAGAAGTAAACATCTTATTCATATGATGGCAAGAAGGAGAAAAATGAGTGCCCAAAGAAGGAGGAAGCCCTTTATAAAATCATCAGCCCTCGTGAGAACCAACTCACTATCACAGGAACAAGGTATAGGAAATGACTCCCATGAATCAGTTATCCCCATCTGGTCCCACCCATGACACATGGGGATTAAGGGAACTCAATTCAAGGTGAGATTTGAGTGGCCACACAGCCAAATCATATCAGTATGTCTATGAAATTTTTTCCGGAAGAAATAGGTATTTGAATCAGTGGACTGAGTTAGGAAGATTGCCCTCACCTAGTTTGGGCCAGCACTATCAAATTGGTTGATGGCCCAGATAAAACAAAAAGTCAGATGATAGGTAAATTATTTCTCTTTCTCCTGGAACTGAGACAGCTGCTTCTCTGCCCTTGGACATCACAACTTCAGTTTCTCTGACCTTTCAACTCTGGGATTTTACCAGTGACTTTCTAGTTCTTGGGCCTTTGGCTTCAGTCTGAGAGTTCTTATTTGGTTCTCCGGTCTTTGAATTTTGACCAAGCCAAACAGCTTCTCTGCTTTTCTAGTTCGTAGAGACTGTCTTGGAACTTTTCAGCCTCCATAATCACATTGGCCAATTCTGATATTAAATCCTCTCATATGTCTTTCTCTGTATCCTAAGGGTACTACTGTTTGTTGAGAGAAACCTTACTAATACGACGGGTCTGAAAGAAGTCTCTTTGATAGTTGAAAGCACATAAAGAAAATTGAGAGGAGGAAAAGAGGAGCAGGAATCACTAGTTAAGTCTTTCTTTTTGTGGGGAGAGCATTTAGCACAACAGCAATTCAGTCATGGCATTTTGCCTTCCTCTTCCCCTACATCTGGTTTCTGGTCTGTTTTATTTCCATGTTCAGAATAAATTTTGGACCTACCTTAATTATATCACATTCTAAATAATTTAAGGATGTTAATGTGTTGTCTGCACAAAACAGGGACATGATATAAGGGATACTAATTCCCATAAACATGGACAGAGTAAGAATTTTCTTGCATTTAGTATTTTAAATTATGTCTTATATAATGTTGGAGATGAAGGAAATATATTAATGCATTATGATAAAATTTATATGATGTTAAATTATTTTCTGTTAAAATTATGAAATTATGTTAAACATTAAGGTACATGTATTTGAGCTTCATTTTGGTAGTCATTGAATGTTATTTTTAAAAATACTTTGACATATATAGTAAAAACTTTATAAAATTAAACTCTAAAAATTAGGTGATAAAGTCAATGTATTGTTTATTTTTATTATAAAAATAAATTAATATATAGGAATCATGGAGATGTTGTCTTATGAAACTTTTTTTTTTTTCATTGACATGGAGTCTCAGTCACCCAGGTTGGAGTGCAGTGGTGTGATCTCGGCTCACTGCAACCTCTCTCTCCGAGGTTCAAGCGATTCTTGTACCTCAACCTTCTGAATAGTTGGGACTACAGGCATGTGTCACCATGCCAGGCTAATTTTTTGTATTTTTAGTAGAGATAGGGTTTTGCCATGTTAGCCAGACTGGTCTCGAACTCCTGACCTTGTGATCTGCCCACCTCGGCCTCCCATCATGCTGGGATTACAGGTAACAGCCACCACACTCGGCCTGAAACTTTTTTTTAACCAAAGAACATTGATTAGAGTTCTGATTCCAGTAATGGTGAGTAACTTTTATCAAACTGACCCTCCTATTGACAACTATTACACCTCTAGTTTTAAAAAACTGAATATATTAGAAAGCAATGAAAAGCGCCAGAAACTGCATGGGATTCAATCTTTTAAAGACAAGAAGAGAAGAAGGTAATACTTTTATTTAGTTGTTTTTTCCCCAAGGGTACTTCTCAATTTCCTGAGACATATAGAGAAATGGAGGTCAAATAAAAATTTTCATTCTTACTGAATTGAAAGGACAGAGGTTGGAAAAGACAAGAGAAGATAGAAATTGAGGGGAAAATCTTGGAAAGGGGAGAGCCACAAAGAAGGGATACCTGCTGCTAAATTGTGGATACCAATTCTGCTCACACTTCTATTAGGTCCTTTAATGATTTGTTAAATATGCACATGACCAGCAAGACTCCAAAGAACCCAGAGGAAAGAAGAGCTGGGAGGCCAAGAAAATGAGAAGAGACTTCAACATCTGCCCCTTGCTCAGGACAAAGAGTTTGCCATTTAAACGTTGTTAAGTCTCCCTTGTTGAAATCACCCAGTTTGTGTACTTTGTTACCGTAGACCTCACAAACCAATATAATGAGCAAATCACATGCAGAAATATGTAGCCAAGATAATAAAACATGACCAAGGGCAGTTTATTCCATAAATGCAACATTGATTTAATATTTGAAATCAATCAATGTAATTTCACCACATCAACAAAAAATGAAAGAAAAATATGATCAATAGATATACAAAAGTTATTTGATAAAATTCAACACAATTTATAAGTAAATTAAAAAAAAGATTCCAGCAACTAGGAGTTTACAGAAACATTCCTAACCTGATTGAGGACACCTATGAAAAACCTACAGTTAACATAATATAACTTTTAGTGATTCACTAATATATATATTATTCAAATGAAGAATAAGGCACTTACTGTTCTCAGCACTGCTAGTCAATGTTGAAAGTCCTAGCCAGAAAGTTAAACAAAAAGAAAAAAAAAGCAGACTATTTCAAGAGAATGAGAAGACAAGGCTCAGGCTGGGAGAAAAAAATTTCAAAAGATACATCTGATTAAAAACAACTGTTATCCAAACTATACAAAGAACTCTTAAAACTTAAGAAGAAAGTAAGTAATTAGGTTACAAAATAGGCAATAGACTTTAACAGAAACCTCACCAAAGAAGATATACAAATGGCAAAGAAGCATATGAAAAGATGCTTCACATTACATGTCATCAGGAAAAAGCAAATTGAAATAACAATGACATATAACTAGACACCTATTAGAAAGGCCAAAATCCAGAAGCTTGACAACGTCAAATACTGTCAAGGACATGAGGCAACGAAAACTCTTATTCATTGTTGGTGGAAATCCCAAATGGCATGACCATTATGGAAGACAATCTGGCAAGTTTCTTACAATTAAACACACTCATGATTTGATCCAGCAATTGTGATCCTTGCTGTCTACCCAAAAGAGTTGGAAACTATGTTCACATAAAAATTTGCACTCAGATGTTTATAGCACCTCTATTCATAATTGCCAAACTTGGAAAAAACCAAAATGTCCTTCAGTAGGTAAATAAATAAACTGTGGTACATCTAGATATTATTAATGGGTACAAAGAAGTGAGATATCACAACATGAAAAGACATGGAGCAAACTTATATGCATATTATCAAGTGAAATAAGCCAATCTGAAAAATTTACATACTGTATAAGTCCAACTATAGGACATTATGAAAAAGGCAAAACTAAGGGGACAGTTAAAAAAAACAAAAACAAAACAGGGACGGGGTTGGTGGTGAGAGAAAGGATGAAGAGGCAGAGCACAGAGAATTGGAGGGCAGTGGAAATATTCTATGGAATACCATAATTGTAGACACATGTACAACCCTTGTGTAAGCTACAAACTTCACGTGATAATGATGAGTCAATGTAGGTTCATCAACTGTTAACAAATGTACCATTCTAGTGAAGGATGTTGATAATGTTGAAATCTCCGTAGCTTACTCTCAGTTTTGCTGTGTACATGAAACTGCTCTAAAAAAAATAAAGTTTTTAAAAAGGTTAATTTTTTTTACAGTAGGCAGATTAGAAAGGAAGAAGTAAAACTTTCTTTGTTGAGGATAACATGACATATTGTATACATAAAACAATTCTGCACATTTAGAAAATAAAGCAAAAACTAAAGCAAAGCCTGCAAGAACTAATGAATAAATTTAGTAGGGTGACACAAACACTTCCAGAAAACTCAAGAGGAAGGAATACTTTCTGAACTATTATTTTGACACCAGCATTACTCTGATAAATATACTACTCTGACAAACCAGATAAATGCATTACAGGTAAAAAAATTATAGAACAGTATCCCTTGTTAAGTGATTTTAAAATTATGAACAGAATTTTAGCTAATCAAATATAATATATACAATTAATAAAGTGTTAGAAAAAGTGGTGCTTATACCAGTAATGCAAGTTTAGTTAAACATTTGAAAGTAAGAGGGTATGACTCATTATATGAACAAACTAAAAAAGAAAAACCACATACTTATCTCAATACATGCAGAAAAAAAAATTTATGAGAATCCAGCTTCTAGTACTCTTAGAAACACTCAGCAGCCTGGGTGCCATGGCTCCAGATGCTTTGGGAGGTTGAGGTGGGCAGATCGCTTGAACCCAGGAGTTCGAGATCAGCCTGGCCCACATGGCAAATCTCTGTCTCTACGAAAAATACAAAAATTACCTTGGTGTGGTGCTGTGCTCCTGTAGTGCCAGCTACTTGGGAAGCTGATGTGGGAAGATTGCTTGAGTCCAGAAAGTCAAGGCTGCAGTGAGCCGAGATCACACCACTGCACTCCATGGGTGACAGAGTGAGACCCTGTCTCAAGAAACAAACAAAACCATTCAGCAAACTGGCATGGAAGGTGTATTAGTTAATACTCCCCAGAGAAACACAACTGATGCAGTTGGATAGATGGATGATGAATAAGTGGATGGAAGCAGAAAGGCAGAGATTGAGAGAGACATTCATTTCAAGGAATTAGTTCATGTGATTGTGGTAGTTGCTAAGTCTGAAATTTGGCAGGCCGATAGGCTGGAATTTCTGGCAAGATGTTGTGGTCTTGAATTTGAAGGTAGTCTGGAGATAAACATTCTTATTTTGGAGACCTTAGTCTTTTAAGGCCTTCAACTGACTGGATAAGGCCCATTTACATAATGAATAGCAGCCTACTTTACTCAGAATCTACTGATTTACATGTTAGTCACATCTAAACAATATCTTTACAGCAATATCTAGACTTGTGTTTGACAAAACAAATGGGCAGCATAGCCTATACAAGTTGACACATAAAATTAACCATTACAGGAAGGAATGTCTTCAACTTCATAAAAACCATCTATGACAAATCTACAGTTAACCCCATGTTTAATGGTGAAAGATTAAACACTATCCCTCAAAGATGAGGAAGAAAGCAATGATACCCTGTCTCATCATTGCTATTCAATATTGTATTGCAGATTTTAGTCAATATGATGTAGCAAGCAAAAGAAATAAAAGGAATTCAGATTGGAAAATAAGTTGTATTACTTGTAGATGACATGATGGTAGACTATCCCATGGAAACTACAATAAAGCCACTCTAACAAAGGAGTCTAGAAATGTGCTGGATATAGGATTAATATATAACGTTAATTATGTTTTTACATAGTAGTAATAAATAGGGAAATGGCATTAAATAATACTACTTTAAAATATTACATTGAAAATATAAATTAGGGAGGAATCTGATAAAAGGACAAGACATAATACTGAAAATTATAAAACATTGCTGAAGAAAATTAAGGAAAAGCTAAATAAATGCAGAGATATACTGTGTTCATGAGTCAGAAGACTAAATATTGTTAAGATGTCAGTTCTCTAAGAATTGATTTATACATTCAATGAATTACATTGATTTACATGTTGCCTAAAGCTGCTTTTGCACTACAGTAGTCAATTTGAGGAGAAGTTGCCACAAAGGATTGTGTGGTCCATAAAGCCCAAACTATTTACCACCTAGCCTTTTACAGTAAAGGTTTGCTCTATTTCATTTTCCACACTGGCCCTAGTTATTTTTCTGGCTCCTTCCTGTGTCACCTCTGACTGTAAACTTCTAATGCGTTTTTTAATGTACTATGCTGTCTCTCATCCGTGGCTTTGCACATGTTATTTTCTTTGTCTGAAATGTTCTTTAATCACTCTACTTCCCATCTCAATTGGTTATATCTTTTTTTTACCCTTCCAGACCAAGTTTAAGATACTGCTTCCTTTAGAGAGCCTGGTGGAGCCCTGAAATCTCAGGAAATTACCTAGACTGTGTGTTCCTACCAAGCAGTGTACATTGTCAAACATAAGAGTTAACACACTGCAAACAATTGCTTCTGTTTTCTCTGAAAGATTGTAAGCTTTCTCTGAAGCTTCATGAGGAAGGGACTGTGTCTAATTTGTTTTTTGGGGTCTGGCATATAATATCTTCTAGGTAAATAACTATTGAATGAATTAATATATAAATGACAGCTTTGGACAAGATAGCTTCGGACCTAGCAGCATGTTCAAAAAAAGCTTGTGTGGATATTATAAAGGCACTTACCATTCTTCTCTTCCAAAAGAACACTATGTCATTTCTCCTGTCTAGACTAGATTCTAATTTGAGACACAGAGTTACAGTTCTTAAAGTCTAACTTTAAAAAAAAATAAATTGTGGACTCATATCACAAAGAATTCTTGTACAAACATTTGTAAAATTAAGCATCCCTCTGGTATAGACTTGATAGATTTCTGAATTTTATCTTTCAGAATTGCTTTCTGAATTGTTTTTTTAAATGAAAATTAAAAATTTGTTTATTGACTGATAGGCTAACACAGGAGGTGAATTCCCTGGGCTCCTTTTTCAGACCAACCACTGACTTATTTTGTATAAAAAGTACACATTTTTATTTGCAGCCCAGCTTCTTCCTATTTAAGGTGGTGAGAGAATTAGTTTCTACATAATTCCTTAATATGTTTGTCTAATCAGCATCCCTCTAATATTTTAGAGTATGAAATTTGTAAAATCTCTGAGTGCAACTTTAGGGTGTATGGAGGAAGAACAGGTCAGCATCAGTGGCTGGGTAGAGAAGACAACGAAATGTTACACTTTTGTTATGTAAATAAGCATTATCTTGATATTCAAAGTAAATAAATGAAGTGCTTTAAAGTACAAATGAAACTTCAAACTAATGTGTGATGGGAACAACCATCTGATATTGACAAGTGAGGTAAATATGCCGAAGTTTTACCAGTGAAAGTTACAAATGGAATCTTGAATGAAAATTATTGATTCAAATCAGTAGTTACCTAGTTTAACAATCGAAGCGTCTTACCTGGGGCAGCTGCATTTTGACTGAATGAGAAGGGTCGATACAGCTCTGATACTATGTGTTTGGTAGTTTAGATTAAATGCAGTAGGAACAATCTTGGGAATCTAGAAGGCACAGTGAGACGTCTAAACAAATGAAGGGATGATATTTGGGAAGGAGATGCAGGTTCATTATTTAGACATTAAAAAATTAAAAGGATATTAGACATAGTGCTTTTGTAAGATAAGGATTTATGTCATAACCATATATTGGATTATAAGGAAATTGGAAAAATATATAGCAAAATATAGATTTTAAGTTGGCTAGAAAGAATACAAAGTGACATCAGTCATGTTGCCCCAGAAAAATAATGTCCTAAAATCTCTCTTTATATTTTTTTGGTGCAGTGCATTTGGCTTCCACCTGTGCAGGAAAAACGGTGATGAGCAGAAGCTGCTATCATCCCTGCAGAACATTTTTGACTCAGCAACTGAAAGTGACAGCTTAAGTTATAGAAAATTGGTAGAGATACAATTGGACAAATAAAAGTCATTTTTTTTCTTTCAGAAGTTAGAGTGTATAAACTAAGAAACAGAAGTTTGCAAAGCCAAAAAATCCAAACCTTAGAAATAAAGTAAGCAGAAACTGTTGACTTAGAGTGAAAAATTTAAAAGATAGACAATGAACATATAATAGGACTACTGATGCATTATGTTCTTTTGGGGTCATCTCCTTGTTTCCAGAGATGAAGGAAAGATGTGTGAGAAAATAAGCAAAACAACAGCAATAAAAAGAGTTCCCCAACAACACTATCAAAAGAGACACAAAACCCCAAATTTGAATAGTTATGAAGAAAAATACTCGAGAGGAAGACAGACTTGAAATCAATCAATAAATCTGAATTAAGTAATAATTTATTGAGTGGTATATGATGTTTCCTGAATTCCTACAGAGGCTTCAGAGGGAATGTGTTCTTAGAAGGAAAGCAATAAAGTCTTTAGAATTGGGTTTAGGGAATGGCACTTTGTTTTAATTTGGAATACAGAAACAGCTGTTTATGAAGGGGTGTTATTATTAAGATAACAAAAAATCTTAAAAAGCCTTTAGATATAGGAAAAAGTCAATTTATTCAACATGATTCCTTCAACATTGACAGATGACAGCACTGCCCATGGATATTGAATAGGAAAGTATGGTCCAGGTACTTTTCCGGACACTGGAGATTCTCAGGGCAGTCACAGTGTCAGTTATGCAGTTGCTTACAGTATATTGAGAAGGAGATTTAGAAGTAAAAAATATACTACCATATATTATTGGAGAGGTATGCATAGAATACACATAACATATTGATGAAAGCGCTCTTATGTCTCAAAATTTCAGAATGAATGATCAGTTTGCAGACCAGAAAGAGACCTTCCCTGCTTTATTCAGCACTGTATTTCCAGTTCCTAGCATACTGACTGACACAGAAGAGTACTCAGCATTTTTTAAAAGAATGAAAAAAAAGGAAATCTGCCTTGGAATGTTAGGCTAAATTTTACTGTGGAGATGATGTGTAAACTGATTCTTTGGGAAAGAAAGGAAAAGAATACATCAAGTTACTTAATGGCACAGAAGGACAAAACGACTTGACAGTCTGGTCAACAGCCAATAGGTCTGAGTGGCTGCCAGCGTTGTGTGGGAGATAAAGTATCTAAAGGCTGAACAGCCGGGAGAGGGAAGCAGGGGTTATCATTTTAAATAAATTAGAAATGTGGAGGATACTGAAGATTTGGTATGGAAGTTCACTAAGATGATGGAAGAAAAGCACTTGCTTGAAATTTCTTCCTGAAGGAAATGAATTTCAATACCTTGTTAAATCTGACTGTGGCAAGGTTGGAATGGGCATCTCAATCAGGGAAGAGGAAGTTCTGAGACTTGGAAATATCAGAAGCATTTTTGGAGGGTGGATTTTTTGTCTGCATGGATTGCCTCTGGCCATGGAAGGGCAGGCCAGGAGAAATAGTTCCCAGGGATGGACTAGAGTCACTCCATGTTGTACTATAAGTCATTTACTGTTGAAGAATTATCTTCCATTATCTCACAGTGGTGATATCCTAGTGGAGTTCATGTCCAAAGTTGTAGCCTGGTCTCAACCGATGGTAGGATATTAAGATAAAACCTTGGGATACTCTCTGGGAAATCTGCAATGAAGCCATTGATGTCTCACACAGGTGCAGCTTGAATAAGACACTTTAGCGCATTGTTTAGGCATAGGAAGCCCACATAAATGTTAGTTGCTTTTATCTTTTTTGCCGCATATACTAAAAGGCAAATGCTTGTGATCATGAAAATCACAAGCATTTCCCTTTTATTGGTCTTTATCAGTATCTGAATTTAGTGTCTGATCTTTTTTTCTGTGTAGACAATTTTTATTCCTCCCCTTCCTTTTCTTAAAATGCTTACCTACTTTCTCTGCAATAAGTCATGTTAATCAATTCAATTAAAATCTGAATATTA